ATCCACCGAGAGTAAACGCCGAGAAAATATAATCGGCGCTGCATTTCGTCTCGTGTTGTTGATGTTGTGTTTGTTGATTATTGAACCAAAACCTAAACCGATCCAAACCGAAATTGTATAATTAAAGTCTAGAACCGAAACTAGAAATCGTATTCACGTGAATGTGGCGTTAAGTGGTAACGTGGTGGTGACTTATGAGTTATTAGATTGGGTTGGTTTAATCTCTAAAGCGGATGTTAAGGTGGTAACGTATCATGGTCACGTATAGAATTGTGGTGTTGTACAATTGAGATGAATTGAGATTATTGAACCGAAACATTGTGAACTTGGATTATTTGTGATATTATTAAATTATTAGATATTTTGGTTGATTTAGTTACTTAATCAAGTCGGATTAATTTAATTGGAAGTATACCAAATCAATTAAACGAGACTAGAATTTTGGTTTGGATTATTAGATTAAATCAGAGATTATTAAGTATTTGACCGATTAATTTAAACCGTTGCAAATAGAAATCGTCATTGAAGCAAGTTCTTGTTGTTGCTAGTACTAAACCAAGGAATTCAACCGATAGGCTAAAGTGAGGGTGGTATTTGCGGATATGCAGTAAACTCTTTCCTTATATACTCTTCGATAGTTGTTGAGTATATGCTCGAGAATTATCTTTGTTGATTTATGTAAATTTGTGTGTATGATAAAGTTAGGTTGTTAGTAACATGGTATGTGAAATGCATTAGTGACATGATTTAATATCATATTTAAAGTATATTAAATTATAAAAAATGATTATGTATATGTATATGAGAAGAGAAAATTAAACAGTATGAGAATGATACTTGAGGAGGTTGGACTGTAATGGACCGACAGATTCATATACAGGTCATTAACCGCTGACAAGCAATAAGGAGAAGGATCGAAGTACGAGCTGTGGTCTTCCATAAATAGTCGGGACCATATGCTGTTCCGATATTTGGTTCAATCTCGATGGTGTGTTTTAAAGAATAAGTAGAGATTTTCAAATAAAAAAGTTGCAAATCCAAATTTGAAAAAAAAAAAAAATTGTATTTGATTTTTTTCCTTACAAAATGATTCACGCAGTAGATTAGTCATTTGACGACTGATATCATTTACATCAACTACAACATTAGAGGGTTCAATTTTCCTTTAGAGGGTTCAGTTGAATGAGATTAAGAAATTTGATTCTCCATGTCTTCATCAACTACAACTTTACATGTGTCTCCATTATTGGAAACCATGCCTATAACGGTATTCCCCTTGATCAAGTTAAATATTTCTTAAAGGAAGCATGTACTCACTAACTATCACAACACATAGGCAGATTTCTCTTCGATCCGTATCTTGATCCTCGAGGATCCAAAATGTATCATGTTAAAGCAAAGAGAGAGAACGGGCATACATTTGCATAGCATTTAATTTGCTCCTCGAAAAGCTCTACCAATCAAGGTCTAACTGGTGAACCTTTTTCATTTTTTCTTAAATAAAAGATGCAAAACAAAAATAAAATTTAAACATATGAAATAAGTTATACAACATCATTGGGACAAAATAAAACAACACAATTATGGTGAAGACATGGCAAAACAATGACATCTCCTCTCAAATTTAATAACACTTAGGGCACATCATGAAGAGTCGTAAAATATACAATGACGACGACTTTTACCAAATCAATTTGAAGGAGAGGTAACGACACGGCTAGACAAGAACACTGTGCACCCGTCCTTAGGCGACATGGTGGGGCAATGCACAATCTCATCACAACCATCTGATCGGACCCTCTTGAAATCAAACATGGAGGAGAACATGGCAATGAAGAGCACGAGGTGGTTCATCGCGTAACGTTGGCCTACGCACTGGTGCGAGCCAATTCCAAAAGTTAGGAAATTGCGTTTGAACACCTGATCCTCTTGCCTTGTCTCGCTAAACCGGTCAGGATCGAACCGGTCTGGTTCAGTAAACCCTTGAAACGAGGCGTCGAAAAGGGAAGGAAAGACAATTGTACCTTTTGGGATTGTGTACGATTCCGTGAGATGGAAGTCACTAACAGCAACATGTGGGACCATACTTGCTGGTGGTCGGTATCTAAGGACCTCACGCGCCACAGACCGAGTGTACTTCATCTCCGCGAGCTGATCAGCTGTTATCAACTCGTTGGACTCAGGCGACCAAACTCTTGCGACTTCCTCCCTTACTCTTCTTAGCACTTCTGGCTCCGACTCAAGTAGCACCACTGCCCAGAGGAGTGATGATGTAGACGCGTCCTGTGAGGCAAACAGAAAATCAACGAGCACACAACTGATCTCTTCGTCTTTGGAGTGAGGCGGTGGCGGATTCTCTCCTATGATCGAATGCGTCCAGAAATCGACTAGACATGTTGGATTCTCTCCTGCAGCCATCTTTGCTTTTGATTTTACTACGCAAACAGCCATTGTATTCACTAGTCTCGATACCGCCCGACGAGCCTCGCCGAACGTGAAGCCAGGGAGGTCGATCGGGAGGGCCATTGTTCCGGGATTAAACACATTGTAATCAGTACGGATCGTGTTCTTGACTTCCTCGTTGAGGTATGGTCCAACAAAAACGGTCTGGGAAGTCTCGAGGTTTAGTTCACGGATTAGTTGTCTCATCGAAACCGGCCGAGATCCACTGGAAAAACATTCCTCCCACTGCCGTAAATGACGGAGGATAACTATTTGCTCGAGGGAAGAATAGGCAGAGAGTGGTTGTCGGGTGAAGTTAGGAGCGACTTGACGACGAACGGATTTGTGATCCTCGCCAAACATAAAGATAAGGCTGTGATCACCGAAGAGCTTTTTTCTGAATGGATGTCCAACAAGTTGGAAAGCATCAGGACGAATGTTGGAGAAGATTTTATTGGAGAGCTCTGCGTCTTTAATGTATATGATGAATTTTCCAATAAGGTAGTTGACGGAGAGGCCAACGGAAGTGTCCGCCATCGCGGATTGCTTGTCCCAGAAGGAAGTTGGGTCACGGACAAGTGCAACAACGTTTCCAATGATCGGAAGGACGAAGAGAGGACCAGGGAGGTTACGTTTCTTGACAAGGTAAGAGAGTTGCTCGAGCAGAAGGAATAGAAGTAATGCTGAGACTAAGTACGGTGCAAGAGAGGCAAATAGGGAAATTGAGGAAACCATTACTCTTTGTTTTCTATTATTTGCTTTTGTTTGATTGCTTGCTTTTTGTCGTTTTGGTGTTCTTAGTTTGGTAGGTTTGTAGAATATTTATAAGAGGTTTTGGGATATTGGATTGAAGCTATTTGCAAATTTATTTATTAAGATAAGAAGAAGTCAAAGGTCTTTCTTTTTTGGGCAGTCTTTCTTTTTTCTTTTTGTTTCCTTTTTTGTCAAATGATATGTCTTTGTCTGCTCTGTTTTTTTTACTTCTTAAGTATGTCATTGTCGACGTGAAGAGAGAAAGAGAGAGATGATTCTATTGAATTGATCCTGATTTGTGAGTTTACGTGATTAATGACTTTTTGTGTTGAAACCAAATGACTTGTGAGTTAAAGAAATTTTGATGTTATCTTTACCAATGACTTTGGTTTCAACTACCAAATGGACTTTTCTGTTTTTGACAGTTTTTTTTTTTTACCTTAAAAAGTATAGATGCATAGTTTGGGCGCCAATATATCATACCTATTAACCTAATTTGCTCTAAATCATCAAAGTATAATTCATAAATTCATAAACTTTATATGATTTAATGCATTATAATTAGTTGATGGTTTGTTTGACAATCGAGCTTCAACTCACTCTAGCCAAATACTTAGATAGAGAAATTCACAACGTTAACATCTTATATGCCGGTCGAGAAAATAAACAATTTGTGGATGCATTGTCACTTTAGTTTAGAGTTTCATAACACAAGCATTCTTTTGGCTATAAGGCTCTGCATTGGATATTAATTAAGCTCTATTATATCCAATGTTTTAAGCCTAGGGTCACTTTTGTTTTAAGCCTAAGGTCGAAGTTAGCTTACACGTATGTTTGTTTTTCTTCTAGTTTCGCTGTAAGTTCTATTTTTGTTATAAATAATTTTATTTCTTACTATTGTTTACTTTGTGTTTCTACTAACCGTTTTATAATTTCAACTTGTTTAACAAATTATTAATTTATCATTTTTACTAATAGAATCTAATACAATATCACCAATCATAATTATTTTTTATTATTTAATTTACCAATAATTTATAGTTTGATTAGTTCTATATTTAGAGTAATTCATTGTCTCTCTCCTCTATTTTAGAGTGATACATTGGAGCAAAATCTCCTCTAAAATAGAGGAAAATATAGAGGTTGGCATTGGAGATGGTCTTAGAGAAGTTTTGAGGCCACTCAATGTCCACAAGATTAGATGGCATGTGGTTGGCACAATTGTCTTGTTAGGCAGAGTAGACATGATCAATAAGTTGAGTCTGATCTGTGGATTTGTTAAACTGATTGTTTGTGTGACGAGAAGACATATGATTTCTCATATCAGAATTGGTCTAACATTCTTCCAGTAGTGGGAGAAGACAAAACATTTGAACTTGGGTTTCGATTTATTTTAAAGCCCACTAAAATAGACCCATATGTGTAGGCTTTTTTCTATTCACACTTGATATTATAAACTCGGATAGGGAAACACATTCGCCTTGATTTCAGTGATCAAGCATTTAAATCATATTTTACTTAACATTATAGTATACCTTTAAGCTTTTTAATATCTTTTTCGAGACTAAATTCCACTTTACGTATCCGAAGTATTTCACCAACTCTGCTTTCCAATTTCCAAGGTTTTAATGTACTCTTAAACTCTATTAATCGTCGTGCATACATACCGATTAATTATTTCCAATGTACAAGATATGTTAAACCAATGGAAAAGAAAAAGCATGCACAAAGTGTAGGATACTATTACCCAAAATCAAAAGCCTTGTCACTTGTCAACAAAAAACATACTAGAAAAAGTTAAAAAAAAAAGGAAGTTAAAATAAACAAAAGTGAAATAGATAGTTTCTCATTACTACATTATGTAAACTCGTAGTGTATTACAATTTGGTTATTAGGTAGCTACGTTATACATACATATGAAAATCAAATGTATCTGGCTTTCTTAACTTTGTTACATAGAGATGTTGGATTAAACAAACAATCAATCTCTCTAGAAACATTTAGAATGATCATTCTCTTGCTTCTATATGAATTTCTAACCTTAAGGCTTCTCGACGGGGCTCTTTTAGGTTTCCTCGGCGCCGGTGGACAAATTCTTGGTATTGCCGGGAGAATCTGGTCGGAACGTGTCGGAGTCTTGCAATAATATTCTTCTTCTCTCTTGAAGTTTGCTCCTTCTTTACATGAGCAATTACTTGTGTTTTGGGATTTAGTTTCAAGATCTTGATCTTGGTCTTGTAATTCTTGATATGTAGGAGGAATGATGTGAGACTCTTGTTGTGGAGGTGTGTGAACGCTCCGGTCTGAAACCCCTAGAGAGGGTTCATGAAAGAACCCTAGTTCCGTTTCGCAGAGATTGTTTTGGTCGGAGATGTAAATTCCGGCGTCCGAGAAACCCATCTTTGAGAAGAAACGTAGCTCAAACTTAAAGCATAAAAGGGAAGGAGATATATAATTCTAATGGGAGAAAGAGAGAGAGTGAGAGAGTGAAAGAGAGAATTTTATGTCTTTGGTGGCTTAATTTGCTTTATATAATAATACGTGAAAATATGAATTGTGTTTATGTAAATATATTTTATTTGCGAACATTCGGGTTTATAATTAATGTTGAAGGATCCGATGCAACAACTATACTTTATGTAAGAGATTGTAAGATTTTCGTAAAAAATGGTTAGTCTCTATACCAATCACATGTTTCTCGCCTTTTGAGAACACATTTTGCTTTAAGATCCAGATGACTCTTTTAACCACACTCAGATATTTTGTTGAACTAATATAAAAAATGAGATTTCGTTTCTAAGGATACAAAGACCTCGTTAATTTTGAGTTTTCTTTATGAAAAACCAACAATTAAAATATCGACTTATGCATAAATCTCAAAATTAGTTTCTATGTCTCATTCTTAAATTTAATTAGTAAAATTTGTAGTCTATAAAAAAAATCAAAATAAAAGAGGCATAAATAATAATTGTGTAAAGATGAAAAAAGAGCTTGAAAGCGTATTGACATAAAAACAAGAAAAGGCCAGTTTTGTTGGTTGAAAAGAAAAAGGTCAATTAGTTTCCTTTATTCATAAGCTAAAAGAAATTATTGAATTTAGTGTCTAAAGGAAGATAAGCCGTCTCTTTCATCTTATTCAAATTTGGTTATATCATCATTTTCTAATATTTTACTTTCTCTCATATCCTAACTTTGATGCATGTGAACATCGATCTCACATGCCTTCTATGTACATCACACCTACCTATATATACACTACTACACATCAGTTTATCTATAAACCTATTTACCATTTAACTTGACCTATCATACATCTATTACCTTTTGTGTGTATATATCTAGATCGATTTAACTGACAAAATTAACGAATCGTTGTGTAATATACTCAATAGCCATTAAAAAACGATCCGATAGCATTAAACTACTCACCTAATTGACAAAAATCTTAAATGTTTATGATACAAATTTAGATTCCATCGACATATATCAACATTTGTCATTGGTAACAAAAGTCAACACTAATAATAGATATTGGATATGTTTGTTTGATTGTTTCTGTTATGCTCATATGTATTTATGTATAAACTAATAACGAATATAAGATAACAAAGTAATTGGAAACAAGACACTCTTACCTACGAGATATTTAAACAAAAACAAAACAAAAAAAATTATAAAAAAAAACACACACCTAAGAAAGATATATAGTTTCTGTTTTTTTTTTTTAAGTAGTGATGAATTTTTAGTTTATTTTTTTGGGCTATAAGTAGTGACGATTTATTCTACTTTGTAAAAGATGGTTGTTTCCTTTTTTTAAGCCTCTACTTCCAAAAGTAAGTAAATGCAAAGTTTCTTCACGTACTTAATTAGATAGAAACGTTCAATCAAATCACGAAAGAATCTTGTTAATCCTAAACGGACAAAAAATATTAAGATGATTTATAATATTTTTTTAAAAATAAACTTAAATCAGAAATCACTGTAAAACTTGCAAAAAAACAAATTGTTTAGACGATAAAGAGTCCCAATACTTGCAAGCTAAAACGTATAGAACAAATGGAACAAACACATTCCATATAACATCATATATAAGTTCACAGCAATATGAATAATAATTTGAAAATAAATTACCATTATCAAAGTTTTAACTAATTTTGTAACACTTGAAACGGTTTTCTATATAGTTATGTTGGTAGACTAAAACATCAGTACTTTTTTTTTTTTTTCTTAAACTATTAATTTAAAAAAAAAATAAGTGCCAATCGTAGTACAATTCTTGGTATGTGCTTAATTACGTACCTTTACCAACAAACAAGAAGAGAAATGTGAATGGTGGCACCAAATGCGTTGGTTAGATTTGTTGGAGATCACATTATCTATCACTATCTACCACCAAAAAGTATATCACATTTTGAATTATTTATTTAATATTAAAAAGAAATAGAGATCTAAATTCTCGGGATTCTATAACAATGTTATCTCAATCAACAACTGAAGTTAAGCAGATAATTTAACTTCTTGTTCAGGTAAAAGTTAAAATATCAGTTAATTTATCCACTTTTACAAGTTAAAAAATGGATAAATAAACAAAAGTTAAGCACACACTCTCATGGAAACATAATTGAATTATTTCTCATGCTCAATCATTTTGCCTCCCATCTTCTATTTCATCCTTATTTCCTTGTCTTTTCTTCTTCTTTGGGTTTAGTTTCAATTTCAGTGTAATTACAATCATTGACTATTAATAATGTAGTTTTGGCCGAACATATATTTTTAAGGACAGATAAAGATCATAACAAAATCTTGTCTTGTCCATGCATGCTTTGTCCTGGAACTTATTATGTGTCTATTGCTGTATTTTTTATTAAATAATGTCTAATTAGCATCGACAATCATATAGAACTTACATTCATTTGATAGCAATACATACAACACAAATGTTTTTGATATAAACATATTTCTTATAAGTTCATCCATTTCAAACCCATATATTCATTGAATCTTTCAACAAAAAACTGAAAGCATGAAAAAAGTAATTAAAGAATTCCATTAACTTAATTGAAAGTAATTAAATAAATATACACAATCAACCAAACCGAAAATAATTAAATAAATATACAACATAAGTTTTATTTTCGATACTCTTCTTCGAGATGAAAGATGCATCTTGGACTATGGAGATTAGAAGCGGATTGCAAACTTCTTTTTGGTATGATCACTGGTGCTCTCTTGGTTGTTTATATGATACTCTTGGTGTGAGAGGTTTCATTGACTATGGGGTATCTTCTAAAGCCATGGTTGCTGCAGTCCTAGCAAACCATAGAGCTAGGCGCTATCGACTGGATTTTTTAAATCGCATTGAGACCGAGCTGGAAAGACTTCGAAACAGAGGACAGTGCCTTGATCCGGATGTTGCTTTGTGGAGAAGACTAAATAACAAGTTCAAATCACGGTTCATTACTTCTGAAACTTGGAAACAAATCCGAAATGCAGGGCCAAAAATAAGCTGGGTTAAGAGTGTTTGGTTCCCGGACTCTATACCGAAACACTCTTTCCTGCTTTGGCTTGCGGCAAAGAACAGACTAACTACCGGTGAGTGTATGGTCGCTTGGAACAGAGGAGTGAACCCATCATGTGTTTTCTGTCAAGCTCCGATGGAGACACGGGAGCACATCTTCTTCTCTTGTGCTTTCTCTTCGCGGGTTTGGGAGGAGCTGGCACAACGACTACTTCAAAGACCCTATACAACCAGTTTCATGGATGTAAAGAGACCTCTTAAGCTATTCAACACAAGAATTCAATCAAAGTATACCTCACTTTTTATTGATGTTTAGAAACTTCTAAAAACTAAACAAACTTACAATCTCTCTTAAGTTACATCTCAACCCTAAGACATGTATTTATAGTAAAACATAACATGTAAATTCCTAGACACAATAGGATTAGATATCTCCTAAATCTATTGTCAATCTCTTAAGCCTGTCTTATCTTTAACCTCCTTATTAAAGATTTCTTGGGCCTTAAGCAAAGCCTTGAATGTTTACTCAACATTCACCCCCTTAAACTTCAAGTCTTTCATTGAGAGGTATTCAACACCTATCACACTTCTCATTTCTTTAAACTTCTTGCTAGGGCCTTTGTCAATATATCAGCTCGTTGCTCTTCTCTGGGAACAAAATCTACTTCAATTTGCTCGTTCTCTACACATTCACGGATGAAGTGATAACGTTTGTGAATGTGTTTGCTTCTCCAATGGAACACGGGGTTCTTCGTGAGCTCTATTGCGGATTTGTTAACAATGTAGAGAAATGTCTTCACAAAACTCTGTCCCGTTAATTCACTGGAGCCACAGTGCTTGTTTTGCTGCCTCTGTTGCGGCCATAAACTCTGCCTCACAAGATGACAAAGCCACTGTTGGCTGCTTCTGTGAACACCAAGTGATTGGTGAGTCTCCGTAGTAGAATACATGGCCTGTGGTGCTTCTCCCGTCGTCAGGATCCACATTGTGGCTACTATCACTGTATCCCACTATCTTCTTAGTTCCTCGTTTCCTATATGTCAAACCATAAGCTAATGTACCCTGCAAATATCACAGAATTTGTTTCAATGCAGTACCATGAGACTCTTTAGGATCTTGCATATACCTACTTACTACTACAACAGAAAAAATAAGGTATGGCCTTGTATGCAAGAGATATCTTAGGCAGCCTATTCTTCGACGATACATAGTAGCATCAGCTTCTGACTTCTCTTCTTGAGCTTTAGACAACTTTAAACCAAATTCCATTGGAATGTGAGATGGGTTGCGGTCACCTAAACCAGCTTCTTTCAGAATTCTCCTTGCATAAGCTTCTTGTTTTAATTCAATACCTTCTTTGCTCTGTTTCACCTCAATACCAAGGTAATAAGTGAGCCTACCAAGGTCTGACATCTCGTATTTAGACGCCATTCCTTGTTTAAATTCTTGAATTATACCAATTGAATTCCCTGTTACAAACAAGTCATCAACGTATATAGCAACTAGGAGTAGCTTTGTGCCTTCAGACTTTCGATACACGACACTTTCCTTTGAACACTTCAAGAACTTCAATCCTTTTAAAATCTGATTGAGTTTTGTGTTCCATGCCCGAGGAGCCTGACGCAATCCATACAAAGCCTTGGAGAGTTTGAAAACTTTGTGTTCTTCTCCTTTCTTTTCAAAACCTTCTGGCTGAGTTACATATACATCTTCCTTGAGTTCTCCATGTAAAAACTCAGTTTCGACGTCTAAGTGATGGATTTCCCAACTGTTAGAAGCTGCAATTCCTACTAATAGTCTTATGGTTTCAAGTCTTCCAACTGGAGCAAAAACCTCATCAAAGTCAATTCCTGATTGTTGTGCATATCCTTTTGCAACTAATCTTGCTTTAAACTTTTTTGTAGATCCATCTGCATTCCTCTTGATCTTGAAAACCCATCTAAGACCTATTACCTTAACTCCCATAGGTTTCTCCATTAGTGTCCAGGTCTTGTTTTTGTTAATTGAATTGATCTCTTCTTCACAAGCTTTTACCCATTC